GTGCACTTAACTTAACGCACAAGAACGCGTCGTCTTCTTCGTGCTCATTAAAACGACAGTTGACCTTGGCTAATTCATTTTTACAGCACAAAGGCGTGCACAAAGAAATTAATTGAAAGTAGGTGTTGGCACGGACTGAGTGGTGAAGGATCTTGTTTTTGCTCTATTGTTTTTACATTTTGCTTACCAGACATAGAATAGATAACTACGGAGGCAGGACATTGGATATCTTAAGAAGACAAATTAAATGGGAGAATGGTCCAGGGTTTTGTCCTTGCCCGTTCGTTTTTACAAATTTATTTTCGTTTAATGTTCACCCTTTCGCCACTCTTCACTGCCAAATGAAGTCATACTTTGCAGCCATGTGACGAGTGGGCATTGTTCTCGTGACTGCGGAGCTTTAGGGTAAAATATAAGACGCTATTTTTAATCTAGATGTTTTTACTCCTCCATCTCGATAATTTAGATAAAAAGGCTATATCATATCGAGACCAATAGGGACAGAGTAAGATAAACACACACGGCAACCCTCAAAGGTAGAAGAAAAATAGCAGAAAAAAATATTTTCTATCTTTGCACCACACACTCAATGACAGTCAAGGAAGTAATTAGGTAAATGAATACCTCATGCATTTTACTCCATAGGGTAAGTCTCCGCCATACATCACAAATGATGTATGACAGTCTTACGACGAACAATCAATTAGCTGTCATTTTTAAAAACTGGGGTTTACTGCCCTTTCCATTTTTTTTTTGGATTTTTTCATCCGGTTTTTAAATGCTGGACCTCTGAATTCAAGAATTCAGGTGGGTTAATCCCCCCCCCCCCCCCCCCGCTGGGAATGGCCTAAAGACACTTCAGTCAGTGGCACGCCCCCCCCCCGTCCCCCACAATCTCCACCTCCGCTCCCTCTCTACGAAGGTGGGGAAGTTGTTTGTTTGAGTAAAGAGATATGCAACGCCACAACAACGACCATTTAGTGCAAGTAAAACGTAAGACGTATAGACAGAAGTAATAGGAAG